CAGGGGCCCCTTCTGGGCTCCTCCCAGCCATGATAGCGTCCTGCCCCCCAGCTTCCATGGGGCTTAGAGGGACCTCCCAGCCACCTGGCTGGCTTGGGCAGGGTTTCTGTGCCCTCCCCAGAGCTTTTCCATCTCTGCAACCTGGTTGGGCTTTTTATTCCCAACAGGCACATATCATGCCCAGGGCTAGCAAAGCTGGGAGCAGGAGACCTGGAAAGTTGGGGGTCCATCTTCCAAAGCAAGGCGGTCTTTGCCTTCCCTGGGTGGGTCCTCGTGGCTGAAAAGCGTAGAGTCTCTCCCAGAGGGCAGCCTTAGGCTGCCTAAGGCCTGAATGATGCTGGGGTTGTTTGTGCAAGCAACAAGGGGCTGTGGGCACGTGACCGCATTGTGCTCGCGCTGGGCATTCGGCACGTGCATGGAACTAGCCCCCCTCGTTCTGTGGTTAGCTCATCGAGCGTAAAACAGGACCCAGGCCCTTTGTATCTGCCTCTGGAACAGGAGCTGCTGGCTAGGCCCACCTGTTCAAAGTCTGCCTGTGTGCCTGGGGGATTGTTAGCTGGCAGGATGGGAAGGGGGGGCATGCCCACCCGTCTCCGGAGGCAATAATGGGTGCCTTTGTTCCCTCTGTGCACGAGCAGCGAGCCTATACTCTGCAGGATCTCAGCACAGCACGGGGCAGTGGGCAAAGGATGAAACCCACACAGGGCGGAGGGGGACGGAGCTGGGGGCGTTGCCCTGAATGCCAGCTGCCTTTGTGCCGGGAGGGTCCGAAGGCAGAGCCAGGAGTCTCTCACCGTGGTCTGGGAGGGTCCCTGCGAGTCAGAAAGACACGCTATCTTGGGGCAGCCCTGAATAAAGTTCTGCAACTTTCAGATGCCTGGAATAGGTGGTGGGAAATTGGTGGGATGCGCTCAAGTGGCGGTCAAGATTCACCAGAAACCTGGACAGGGGAGCAGAAGTCCTCCTAGGAGGATCCGGAGGTGCCCAAAGGCTCCCCCCGTCCCTCTGGGCCTCCTCCTTGTGGCCAGGCGGGAAGTGCCCCCATGTGCGTGCTTCCTCCTGGAGCTTTGGAGATGTTTCCGAGGTTAAACGTGCAACTGGCTCTCAGCAATCCCCCAGGCACGCAGGCAGACTTTGAACAGGTGGGCCTAGCCAGCAACTCCCAGGGTTTGCCCTCCTTGCTGAATATCTCCTCCTCCCTGCCTTGCCCCCCAGTTGCAGCAGGCTGCCCCCCTCCTGGCCCAGCCCAGCCCAGGCCTTCCTGCAGGATCTAGCTGGCCAGACAAGGAAACCTGAGTCCCGGAGGGGGTGGGCTGGCCTGTTGGGTGGGAGCAGCGGTGACTAAGCAGAAGCCACCGCAGCCATGAGTCAGGAGGAACTGCCAGCAGCCAGGCCTCCTTGGAGGAAGAGCCGGCCGGGTCACCTGATCCCGTTTCACTGCGTCTCCAACGTTGAATATTTAACAGTGCTGGGCCGGGCTGTTGGTTGGGCAAAGTCTGCTGCTGACATCTGGGGAAGCCTGTTCCGGATTGGCACCTGCTGGAGCCGGCTGGCATCCAGCATGCAAAGGTAGACTGCCTTTGGACCTGGGGGATCTGCCTTGCTGTCCGACTTACTCCTTTCTTTGAAGCGCCAGCTTGATTGTGGCTCTTGGGGTGCGCCCCTGCAGGGGAGGGGAGATGAAACACCTGCATGCAAGAGCTGCAAAACACCAAGATGCCTCCCCCATTAGCATCTCCTGACCTGGGGTGTGGGTGAGGGAGAATATGTGTTTTCTTGGCACTGGAGGAATTAGGCTTCACTTTGTGAGAGGTCTCATTTTGGTTCACCTTTTCTTGATTTTACGCATTCCGAGTTTGCGTCGTCTGGAGAGTTGGAAGTGAGGAAGTGGTGTGAACTGGGAGTCAGTCCACGTGGGGGGCTTTGTGAGGGGCTTGTGGGCAACAGAGGAGTGCATTCAAGTCTTTGCCCACAAATGCAGAATTAGGGGCGCCAACATCCTGAGCTGCAACTCCGCCTTCCGCTTGGTCATTCGTGATCGCTCTGGGCCCCCTTCCTCTCCCACCTGCCGCTCCAAACAAAGCCTCCAGAGAAGGGGCAGGTGGGAGGGGGTTTCAGGCAGGGAGGGGCTTCTCCAGGAAGAGGCAGGCGGTGCTGAAGCAGCCACCGTGCAGGGAGGGGGCCCTTTGATCCCAATAGCCATGGCTCCTTCTGGCCTCTCTCTTGCTTGGGGAGCCCAGAATAGGTTCTTGGTTAGACTGCCCGGGGTGGGGCAGGTTAATTCAGCACCTCCCCCCCCAGCATTAACCACTCCTGTCCAATGTGGGAAGGGGAGCACTCTGCTGTGCATCAGCAGCCGACCTGCAGAGGAACCCTGGGGAACCCGCTGGGCTGGGTAGGGGATGCGGAGGAGGGTGAGTCAAGGGCCTTGCAGAGGGCGGGGGGCCCTCCGGCTGGGGTCTGCCCAGGCCCCTTCGTCCTCCCTGCTGCTCTCCCCACAGCCCCTCCACCTCCAGGGTGCTGCAAAACGAGCTGCGTTTGCTCTGCCTCGGGCGTCTAGACTGGAGCGTACAGAGGGAGGGGTGGGGAGACGCCGGCTGTGCCCCGGCGCTCGCTCAGGGCCCCTGGCCAAGAGGACGTTTGACCCCCCCCCCCC